TCAATTTGTGTATCATTCTCACAAAGGTTCAAAATAATTGTTATAGTATGGTATGTATTCATTTGTAATTAAAATTCTACTTATGAGACTTGTATATTTAATTATTTATCCAGGAAATTGGCAGGAATATATGTCACAATGCATGCAGATGCTGTATCTGAACATGGGAGTCTGGAATGTTGTATCCCTACATGCAATATTGGTTAGAAGAACCTATTGCAAAACAATTTGTCCCAAGACATACATTACTTACAACCAGTACAAGCTCTTTAGACTTACTTGGAAGAATAGGGAAATAAAAAAAAAAACTTTCAATATATCTGGTCCCCAGATCATGAAACATCTTAGGCTTAAGTCAAAATCTTTGTATCATAATTAAATGTCGTGGAGGTCAAGCAGATCAAACTTAAAATATGTTTCAATATTGATTCACAAAAGTGTTGTTATTTGCAAATTTTGAGATTATTAAATATTTAATTTTACAGACGATTGAAAATTTGACTTACGTCTAAGTCTGTTTCATGATCCTGGGGCCTGGTCTCTTAGCTCACTGGTAGGAATTATTAAAGCACTTTTCTCATTTATTTTTGCTTCATTCAGTAATTGATAAATATATATTATTATAACAGTAACTTGATCCTAAGGGTCATATCACGCTGAGTTGACAGGCGCTGATCATCAGATCTAACGAGACGCGAAGCATCAAGTTTGATCTGATGATCCGTGCCTGTCAACGCGACGTGATACGACTCTTTGGATCAACTTACTGTTATAATGATAAATTTATTATATACCCCCTTATAACTAGCAAAATATAGCAAAAGAAAACTTTAGAGATCAATTATATAACATTTATCCATAAAACAAAGCATAATAACAAGGGACTTTTTATCGCACAAGAAAAATAACGTCATGTTTTTGTGTACTACGTCATCAGTTTCAGAGAGTGGTGATATGGATTCAGAAAACCACTGTGTGGTGATCCGGAAAGTCGGATCACGACGTCACGTGATTGTGTTAATTCTACAGTAAAATTGAGCAATACACGTTAGGTATATAATAAAATTGCTGACTTCTGTATTAGTTAGGGCTGTATCAATATATCGATACGTATCGAAATTCAAGAAAAATATTGTATCGAAAAATAACTTCCAATACGTATCGGACAAGCAGTTTTTCTTCTAATCCTGCTAAAAAGATGGTAATTTTTATCAGCAAATATTGTATTTCACTTTTTTGAATTAAAACTGATCAATAATTATAGATTTATAAAAGAAATAACACAATTTTTATAGTTATTATGAAATATATAACAATTTTATTTTTACAAGTTGATTTTACAGTCATTAAAAGTTTCGATTGGAAGTGTTTTATTTACTGACTATTGGATAAGAACTTTGAAATGGGTAATAAAACACTAAATTTTTTATGAAATCCATACATTAAATGATTAATAAGCCTTTTTTCATGGACTTGTTTAAGAATCCAATATATCGCATATCGCTTTAAAAAATATTGTATTGTATCGTATCAAAAGTTTTTGCTCAATACACAGCCCTAGTATTAGTCTAGTCTAAATGCCTGACCATGAACTTCCATTGTTATAATGAAAAATTGAAAATTACAGTGAAACATGCATATAAAGGTTTTTGATTGAAGTACAGTTAATTCTCGATAAACCGCCACCTTTTGTAATTTAGAAATCATGGCGGTATAACGAATTTGGCGATGAATCGAATTTCCCATCTTTTTAGAAAACAAGAAGTGGAGTTACCGTTCTTAGAAATACCATTTAAGCATTTCTATTCTTATAATAAAATGTACATGTATAAAGACATATTTTTGATTGAAAATACTTCCAGTATTTTTTTATGTACAATTTCACTAAAACAAAATGTGCAGTAATGAAATAAAGACAAGTCATGTGTATTTAATATTTTGTAAATCTGCACGTCTGATATTTAAGAAATAAATAACAAGTTTATAAACTTCAATGGGAATTGAAGTGGGTCGGTCACGTGATCAAATCCTGTGAAGGCCGAAGGCCTTCTCAGAAGATTTGATCACGTACCGATCCACTTCAATTCCCATTGAAGTTTATAAACTTGTTATTTATTACTTATATATACATTTGAGATGGACAATTAATATTAAATTAAATATATTCGGATATGAATATTACACTAACCGGTCGCCGTAGTTTTTCGTCAAAAGTACGCAAGGTGTAAATCGGCTTGAAAGGCGGTTACGCTTCGAATTCATCAGGCTAAGAATTCTATTTCGAAGGGGATATTTTGTTAAAGGCTACTTGTGATCAGTAATAGTGAATAGATTGTTGTTTGGGAATTTTCTGTTTGTGAAAATTGAAAATCAATGCTGAAAAGGCACACGAAACACATCCTAAGATTGATATAAAAAGTTGGAGGAATTTCGGTCGCCTGAAAATGAAAGGGATGGATGGATCCGATGGATGGAGACACTTGTCCGAGTCAGTTAATTTGCAATCAAGTAGGTCTATTAAATTTGATCAAAAACATTCAATCTACGATTTCTGTAACTAAAGGCATATTTATGATGTAAACTCGGACTCGGAGACACTGACGAACTACGACATCGCCGATCGAGGTGTTTGTCAGCTGTTCGTGGCGTGATTGCAATGCTTGGGTTTTTCCATCAGATTTACATATTTATTTAGTAGAATCTCATGAAAAATTATAGTTTCAATCTATATCATGAAGATTTAACTTAAGGTCTACCAAAAATAAGGATAAAACGTTAGAGATTGTGCAGCTGACAAAAGTGACATAAAACGTGTAAACAAAGTCTAGTTTCTATCAGTTTCTATGAACACAGGTTAAATCGATCGCCAAAAAATGTATGAAGTACATGTTTACTTTGTAAACTAAAACAGTTATTTTACTTGCTTATTTTGTTCATTTTATACATGAAAAGCAAGTCCCTAGAGCAAGTCATTTTTTGTATTTATGTACAGGTAGATATTATTGCGCCGTGTGATTGGGCCATGTATTGACCTTTGCCCTTTGACAAACTTCATACAGAATTGAAGATATTTTCTCTCTGTATGTTTATATAATGGAAAGATACCACAAATGTATATATTGAAAAATAAACAAGCTGGATCGATCGTCATGATTTATTGCCGAAAGTACGTAAAATGAATTCCTGAATAAATTCATCGTTTATGGCATCATTGTTAATGAAACGTTCACAATTCATGCCGTATAATTATTTTTTCAGCAAACTTTGCATTAATTAAAGCAGACATCATCAAAATAATATCGTTATCCGCGCACTATAACAACGACCGCTTTCCTGGCGAAGCCGTGACAAAATGATTTTAATTAAACAAAAAAAAAATTATTATAACAGTTCATGTTAAAATTATTATTTATTTTATTCTTGTTTAATTACTAAATTGCATGTACCTTGTCTGCCTTTGCATGCTTTAAAACAAGGATAGCGTCAACTAATTAGCCGCGCTTCACTGACCGTCTGAATCTGTGGCGGTATATCGAGATAATTGACACTTAAAAATGGACGTTTGTTTTGAAAACAGGGTGGCGGATGGCGGTATGAGAATTTGGCGTTATAAAGAGAATTTTATATAGCAGGAAAAACGTTCTTGGGAAATCATGGCGGTATTGCGAAAATGGCGATGAATCGAATGGCGATAATTCGAGAATTGACTGTACATTTTAATGCATGACTGAAAACAGCTGCAGCATCAAACATGTAGCCTTAGTGGTAATATAATCTTGCAAAATTTGAAGTTTACAATACATATGTAATGGATTGGGCTAGGGATATCGGCCTGGGATGCAGGGATCAAGGGATCCTGGATTCAATTCCCAGTCAAGCCATACATTTTTTTTCCTTTTCAGTTCGAGATTTTGTGCTAACCCTGGACTTGCTGCTGAACTTTGTTTTTGTCTTAATGGGAAAGGGCAATTTAAGGAAGAAGGAGTGTAAAAGTTTGGGCCATGGATAGCAACCAGGGTAGCTCAGTCGGTAGAGCACCTGCACTGTGATGCAGTTTCCTATGTCCGATTCATGGTCCATAGGCATACATTGTCTTCTTTCCTGTTTCATAAATAGAACAGCACAGTCCTGGCAATTAAGATGAGCACCAGCTTTAAGCTATGAGTTTTTAACATATATGTGACTTTGCTGTTTTCTTGTGGACCATTTATAAGAGTCAAAGTTCAGACAAGACCTGGTCATGACTTTGAAACATTAATGATCAACGGTTACAGGTCCTGTCAAGCACAGATAATCAAATAAAAAACTAACAGATAAAATCCCATACCTGAAGAGCAAATTAACAGATTCAAAATGAACATAACTCAATATATTAGTGTAACATGACAGTCTGCACTCAATAAATTAATGGTTACATACCATTGGTAAACACGATAAATACGCAAAAGGTTTCAAACGATCGAAAGTTTCTCGTACAATACCTTGATCATTCTTTTAACTGACTTATTTTCTGTCATTTCTATGAAATACCTACTTGTTTTTATTACTGACAACGTCAAAGAGAAGTTACATAGGAAAGGTGTTTGGCAATCACTATTTTGTCCACCATAACTTCATGGATCATGTGACCTCTGACGTAACATCGTAGGGTTTTTCAGGTAAGTGTCAAGGTTTTTTGTGTAATGCATTCTTACTGAAATCATAATTGCTTTATCATTTTGATATACTAAAGCTTACTTTAAAAAAAATCCAAGAAAAAAATATACATCTTTAAAGTGATTTTAAAGTCAATGCAAACAAAATTAAATTAGATAAATGGTATAAATTGGATTTAACTTTGAAGGGAATGATTTCAATTAATAATGTACTTAAACATCAGAAAATAGGTATATTTATTGTATCATTTGTTTTTATATAAAAAGATGACAAATATTTATTTATTTATTTCTAATGTAAAACATCTAAATAAACCAATTCCAATTATATCCGAACACGATATTGACTTGAATATCAATATGTCTGACAGCAAAATAAAGCACGTTGTTGCCGATTCTGGGGCTTTTATTCGCAACGCCCCTCTTCAGGTAAAAAGATAATTGTTTTATTCTGAAAGAAAATAAAAAATTCAACACAACTGTAAAGAGATAATGGTCAAATATATTCTTAATAGTGAGAAGACGTCCCATAATCATGATATTGAACATGTTGAAAGCACAGGGCCTGCATTTTTAGCTCACCTTAACCAAAGGCTCAAGTGAGCTTTTTTATTCAAGGAAAGAGGGCGTACAAGGCGTGGAAAATCCCCCGCACAGAGAAAATATGTTTTTCAAAATTAAAAATTCACGGAAAAGTTGTATTTGTTCTAAAATCATGTTCTCAGTTATGTCATCTTCAAAACATTTTATTTTATTTTACTGAACGACTTATCATTAAGGTCTTCCGTTTCCAACGGAAGACCTTCTACTGATTCTGATGATTAAGATTATTCTTATTATTCTTTTTTTTTTTTCTTCCTAGACGCGAACTTTGACGCTTCATATCTTGCTCATTCCTGAACGGATTTTGTTCAAATTTTCAGAGGTTTTAGACTTTTTTAAACCCTTATAGAATATTGTTTCACAATTCGAAAATTACCTTCTATTAACGAGTTATTGCCCTTTGATTGAATTTTTCTTACCTCCGATTTCCAGACAGAGGCTCAGAAAAGATAATAATTGGAGCACAAAACCCTTTTAAATCGAGGAGAGGAAGCATTGAAGTTGTGCACATCGGTTTTTGTTTTTTGATTTTTGCATTAAAAATGGCACTAGGGAGGGGTCAAAAGTTAGAACGCGGAAAACAGCAAAAAATTCGACATATTTTCCTTTATATCTTAAAAACTAAAAATATTTTGTTAAGACATGTAGAACAAAAGTTGTGCATAATTGCAAGGGCTTTCATGTAATACTATTCAAAAGGGGCTGGCCCCTATAATTAGGGCTCTATGGAACTTGAAATGTTTTGCTTTATAACTCAAAAACGGTAAATGTTTCGATCTAGATCTTACGAACAAAATTGTTCTTTTACACCTTTTTGATCTGATGAAAATGCTCTTTTGTTCGATTATGCCGGGAATATTGCGTAATACGCGGTAGAAAGCAGGCAAGGTAAACAGGTAGCGTTTTTCCGATTACATTCACCTTGTTTGTTTACAATTATATAACACGCCTCCCTCGATAGCGCGGGCCAAAGTCGGACACCGGGAATCAATCGGCGGGTAATCCAGCGACCCACAGTTATACACAAATAAAAACACAGAATGGTTAAATTCATTTTTTTAATATATAAAATTGTACCTTAATACTATCTCTGTCCTATGAAAATATTATTTTGTTCGAGTCTTACGTATTATAGGAAAGAAAGCTAGACAGTTCTCATCTTGCTATTGAAGGAAAACTCTGTAGTCTTTATGCGCAGAATTGAAGTAAACTTGCCGTACGTAATAAATATTTTACAATGCTGCATCATAACTCTTTTTTTTAATTAGGTTTTAAACGTGTTCTTTGGTTCCCGTTCAGAGTATTCAATGGCATCATTTTCCTTTCATTAATCAAGATCTTTCCAAGAGAAAGAGTTTTAGAAAAAAGCACGAGTATCTTTTCTTCGTTAAAATATGAACACAAACAATATGAACGAAAACGATACACGCCCGGATCTCATAAAAAGAACTTTTAAAGAGTCAAATAATACAAAAATTATTTACTGCCCAATTCTCACATTCACCTGGAACCCAGATTTTAAGTGTGTTGACCATTGCGTAATATTACGATTACACGTGTCCAAGAAAATCTAAAGCGACACGCCGCGGCGAACCATTGACCCCGCAGTCATAGGCAAAATAATTGGTGTATTAAAACCATTTTACAATTAATGGAAAATTATTATTGTCGTATATTTGAGATTAATATGTTGGCTTAATTCGTTTTAAATTTGATCGTGATACATGTTTATCTAAAACAGCTACCGTATAATCCCTATTAACCGCCCCTACCCCTATAAGCGCCCCCTGGGTCTTTTTCAATTGTCAGGAAATAAGGGCCCCCTTTACAGTGATCAAAATCATCCAAAATCGTATCAAAAGTCCGCCATAATGAGGAAAGTGAAAATGAAACTTTGTTATTAGGTAACTCGTACACAAAATATTCTTGAAGGTAAGATTTTTAGAACGACCTAATCATGTATTTCTGAAAGTGAAAGTTAAAAATACAAGTACAAATTTGTTCTCCTTGTCTATTCCCTAATTTCAAAGTGGGAAAATGAGTCATATAGCATAATTTGGGTGGATTCTTATAGTTTAAAGGAAGGTTAGACAACTTGTAGTGATTCTCTGTTATTTGATTTATTTTTTCAAAAGATTTCTTGAAGTTAAAATATGACATACAAATTTTCAGTCAAAATAACCGCCCCCTTTCCGCAATTTTCTAAGCGCCCGGGGCGGTTAATAGGGATTATACGGTATCTTGGTTTTGTGTTTGTTTACATTTACGCGACCAACCATTCCTTCCATCGCTTGTTGACATTAATTTACACAGCGTGGTCGAATGTTAAATCTTATTTTACAAACTTACGGAAAACATTATTTTCTGTAAGTAAATCGAATCTTTCAAAAATATTTTAAAATATCTTAGGTTTGACTTTAGAACAAAACGCTGGGGTATTTATTTTACATGTACATTAATAAGTCTTCAATTTTTATAGTTCGTTAGCTCCATGTGTAATTTTACTTTTCGTTTTGACGATTCATAGCGTAAGGACTGGCGATCTGCGGTAACTTTACTTCAACCAAAATTGATTTAAATGCACAAGCTTAATTTGCGCTTTTAATACACAAATAAATCTGTTTTCAACACAAATTTTCCCAAACTCATTTTTGTTCATCACAGATTTTTACCATGGCTATTTCAGTTTTAAATTTTAAAGAAAATCTTCCGAATCATAAGGATCTATTCAGAATTTTACTCAATGAAATGGACTAAACATCGATAAGTATCTCCGGCACGTTTAAACTTCATAAGTGACTTCTGTGCTGCACAATGCCTATTTATATTACACGTTGAATAGTCAAGTTGAAAAAAATAATTCAATATTGTAAAGAAATGAATTTTATTTGTTTTATAATTTATTCAAAACCTGTAAATGATTAGTATAGTGTGCTAACATTTTAATTTTGTTCTGTGATTTTAAAAATATCAGTAGCAGGTTATACAATGTACATGTAAGTAGTAATAAACCCGCATCGTATTGTCCTCTACAAAAATTTGAATTTTTCAATTAAAATTTGTATATGACAAAATTGAAAAATTCAAATTTTTGTAGAGGACAGTATGTACGGAATCGAAAATTTAAGAACTTATATACAACAATCTGCAGCTACTGAATATCACAAACTTATCATGTAATTACACACTTTTATGACCTAATTTAAACTGTTAAAATCATAACCGGCACCATAGTTAAACATTAATTGTCTTACAATCGGCACTTACGGCCTTTGAACAGGGAGGGGTCTTTTTTGTGCCAGCACCTAAAGTGACACAGCTAGGACCTTGTTTTATACGGTCTCATCGGAAGGACAGGTACCCACGTCCCACAGTGGGATTCGAACCACGACGTAAGGATCAACTCCTTACTTCGCTACTATAAAACAGACGCTCTAATCACTGCGCTATGCGGGCGACCTTGGGGGATATAAAATGAAAACAATGAAGAAAACGGTTAGTAAAAAATAAGAAGGGGTCGTTTTAAAGTATTATTCTTACGAACTTCAGGGCAAGAATGAGAAACCATATTTATGAAAGCTTCCTGATATAAGAAAGATTACTTTTTTTCAAATCATGACTAGAGTTTTTTCCCTTGCAAAGTGATTGTGTATTTTGGGGGGTAGTGTGGATGGAATGGGAATTAAACGGTCTGTTTAACTGTCCATATGTCTGTCTGCCCCTTAAAGTTTTTCCCAGAAGGTCAGGCTATAACATAAAGAAACCAGAAGCTTGTACTCGATACAAAGATTTCAAGTGATCCTAGGATGTGTCATTGTATTTATTTATTCAAGGCAATATTACGGCAAATTCAAGGTCACTGGAGAAAGAATTAATGTTTTGTTGCATCATTTATATGTAATCGAGAATATCTGTAAGCTCATACTTGAATCAGAGATTGCTTGGGACAAAAAGATTTTTTTTACGATTTTGACTCAGAAAACAGTATTTTTTTCATTCTGACTATATTTGTTTAAATCCATACTTGATACAAATTGCTTATAGTCCGCCGGTTTTCAGATGACTTAAAATAAGGTCATTTTAACAAATTTAGGGCTAATGACTGAAAAGTTGTAAAACTCCTGTCAGGGTTATGAATTTCTAAAAGTTGTTTCAGATTGAGGTTTTGTTTTGACAAAGAGCCAAGGTTATTCTGTTAAAATCAAGGTCACTGACAGAAGAAATCTTTTCTTTTCCACGCTATGAACTAGTAAGTGAAAAACATTGGAGGCTCTTACTTGAAACATAGATTACTTATGATTGGAGGTTGTGTCATGACCCTGATCAAGGGTCTTTCTGGCAAATCAAGGTCACTGAGAAAAAAATGTTTAAGCATAACTTTGTAATTAAGATTCACTGGAGGCTCATGCTGAGAAGAAAGGTTGTTCACATTAGAAAGTGCAGTAACCTTGACCCAAGGTCGGTACTTCCTTTCCACAGCTCCAACGGAAGACCTACTCGTTGCTTTGCAACGAGCTTGGCTCTAGTTTAACAATCTTTTTTCAAAGTTGACAGTTAAGCATATTTAGTGGAAAATGGGTTTACTAGAGCTATTAAATGTGAATTTTGATCGTGAATGGGTCAAGTCTCCATTTTTCGTGAATGCTTAAATGATAGAAACATACATGTTAAATCTATTTCATTTGTCTAAAAAATGGAATCTGAACCCATTCTATACGAAAATCGAACATTTCTGATAAAATTGTATGCTTCAACAAACCTGTTCATTTAAATCACACTGACAGACATCAAGAACGCATATACTTCGTAGTGTAGTGGTTAACCCAGTCCATCTTGTGGCAAAGCCTGTGCTATGGAAAGAGTTTGAATCATACGTGTAGCTTTTTCTTTTTGTTTTCACATATCTTTATAAAACATGAGTGAAAACATAAATTATTAATAAAATATTAAAACAACGAAATACAGAATTAGATGTGTAAGAGATGATATAAACCATATAATTTTGAAAAAATAGCTTTCATCAACTTTTAGAATTGAGAAATGTCTTCTCAGAGTGGGTGATTGACATCGCCTTGTACGCCTCCATTCTTTTGTCTGGCTTCTGCCTGTCTGTACCTCTTTCTGTCTATGTTATACAGAAGTTTATGTTGGAAAAATAATAAAAAGATCTTTCTGAAGAACGGCACGTGACAAGTCATAAACTCTTAATTTGTGCAAAATTTGTCGAGACTAAAAATTTTGACGTCTCTTGGAATCTAAGACCAGTTTCAAAGTGATTTATGGAACTTTGACCATTCGTTACAATCAAAATAGGTGGAAATTAATTTCCTGCTCACTTCATAACTTTTTGCTTGGGACATGCACCCTTTTAACTTTCTATCACTTTGAAACTTTTGTTTCTTACCTTAAATTGACTTTCATATTTAAAAAAGTTATTTTCCTTTGTGGGGTAAATATGAAATCAACCAGTGTAAAACACTATTTTCCTTCTATCATATTACCAATTCCATGGGGCTATGTCTTTCAAATGCAAACTGTATGGATTTTTTTTTAATGTCATACACTGTAGCAATACAGTAAATAATCAAAGTTTTTTAGATAGTGTGTAAAAGTTTAAAATATTTTTAGGTAAGTTATAAAGGAGTTAGTGTGAAAAATTATGTCAAAAATGTGAGATATAAGTCTTAAAAATGTTAAATAAATCTATACTATTCCTAGTCAACTTCCTCAGGTGAGCAATATGGCCCATGGGCTATCTATGTGAAAACTACTGAGGGACAGGATTATAACCCACCAGGGAGCTTATCAACATTGCAGGTCTCTCAAAGCTCACTGATAAACCTCATTTTTTTTACTTCACTGATGTAAAAAGGCAGACTTAATGGAGTGTTTATGGCTACTTTGTGATTGTGATACTTCACTATTCATATTGGCAAAAAAAAAAAAAAAAAAAAAGACAATTTTCTGGCAGAATTGTGTGAAATTAAGTTTTCTTTATCATCAGGTCACCAATCCCTGAAATGGATGATCCAAACAGGCTTTAAAATATCCAGTGCAGGCTATGTAAATTTTAGCTTCATAATTTGCTTGAGATTAAATTATAAACTATGCTATATCAGGGCTGTTCCTTTAGAAAATAATTACATGCTTGAGTGTGTTACCTAGACAATGGCTGGTAATGACATCACAAAGTTTTGTAAAACTAATGTATATCAGCTTTAGTGTTGAATATCTAGTAGCCTTACAAGAATTGACCACCCTTATTGCAATATATTTTCTCTTTTCAGAGCATTGGATCTAAGATCTACACTGTTCCAAAAGTAGTGAATGAAATCAAGGACAAAGCCACTTTGCAGAGACTGCAGGTGTTACCATATCAACTAATTCCTAAAACACCCTCACCAGAATGCATCAGAATTGGTAGTTACCATCAATTACATGTACAGTTCCCTGCCTTGTTCTCTCTGTTTGTTTTTATACCCCCCGCAAACGAAGTTTGGGGGGGTATATAAGAATCACCTTGTCCGTCTGTCTGTCCGTCCGTCTGTCTAGCTGTCCATCTGTCTGTGCAAATGTGTCCGGTCCATATCTTTCTTATGGAGGAACATTAGAAATTACTACTCCACACAAAGATTGCCCATGACCTAAGGGTGTGTCATGACCTTGACCCAAGGTCATTTGGGGAAGTTCAAGGTCACTAGAAGAAAAAGTTCATAATTCGTGTCCGGTCCATATCTTTCTTATGGATAAACTTGGTAGGTTCTCATTTCACACAAAGATTGCCCATGACCCAAGGGTGTGTCATGACCTTGACCCAAGGTCATTTGGGGAAGTTCAAGGTCACTGGAAGAAAAAGTTCATAATTCGTGTCCGGTCCATATCTTTTTTATGGATAAACTTGGTAGGTTCTCATTTCACTCAAAGATTGCCCATGACCCAAGGGTGTGTCATGACCTTGACCTAAAGTCATTCGGTGAAGTTCAAGGTCACTGGAAGAAAAAGTTCACAATTCGTGTCCGGTCCATATCTTTCTTATGGATAAACTTGGTAGGTTCTCATTTCACACAAAGATTGCCCATGACCCAAGGGTGTGTCATGACCTTGACCCAAGGTCATTCGGGTAAGTTCAAGGTCAATGGAAGAAAAAGTTCATAATTCGGGTCCGGTCCACATCTTTCTTATGGATAATCTTGGTAGGTTCTCATTTCACGCAAACATTGCCCGTGACCCAAAGGTTTGTCATGACCTTGACCCAAGGTCATTTGGGGAAGTTCAAGGTCACTGGAGTGGAAGAAAAAGTTCATAATTCTTTCCAGTCCATATCTTTTTTATGGATAAACTTGGTAGGTTCTCATTTCACACAAAGATTGCCCATGACCCAAGGGTATGTCATGACCTTGACCCAAGGTCATTTGGGGAATTTCAAGGTCACTGGAAGAAAAATTTCATAATTCATGTGTGATACATATCTTTATTATGGAAAAACTTGCTTCTGAAAAAACCCAGCGGGGGTATTTTGTCCCGTTTGGACAGTTCTAGTTAAAACTGAACAAGCTGAAGCTTACAGTACAGGCAACGCGGATCCCGTATTAGACCGCGTCCCCTCCGCGGTGTATTAATCCTTTCAGCGTTACACCGTCGCGGGTTTTGATCGCGGTGCTACCTGAGACCGTGTTTACACCGCGGCGGGGCCCGCTACCGTTATTCTTCAGCTTAGATGTTCTTACCTGTAAAGTATTGTCGATTTTTAATCGTGTCGAAATGAGGGGGGGGGGGGGAGGGAGGATTACGACCACATTAATATTAATAGATTTATACCATTACATAGATTCTTTAAAAAATCATTTTTAAGTTTTATCAAATTGTTTAATAATAAACATCTTTCTTTTTTTTTTTTTTTTTACCAATGGTCACTCAAAATTAATTAATTCTCAATAACGTCTGTTAACAGTAATACATGTACAGTATAGGATGAAATAAAGTCGAATAATTTATCGAATATATTAACTTAAAGTTTATTTTCAAAATCAATAATGCCACCCCAAATGATCTTCAAATTGCTATAAAGGTATAATTAAAATTTAAAGAATGTTATGATATCGCTTCTCTTTATATGCACTGTAATCCGCTGTTCGTAATTAACCCGTGCAGTTGCAGTTACATGTAGCTATGTGTTTATTTATCTGCGAGATTATATCAGTCATTTGGTTTCATTTAGAAAAGTAGCGTTACTTCTGTATACATGTCTGTTATAAATAATGGCATGAAAAACGATGATAGATAGTGATACATAATTACAATTAAATTTTAACAAAACACGCGTAAGTGTAGGCATACCGTTGCTCCATTATTATGCGCTACACTGTAACACTATGAACTAAATATCGACCTTTTTGGGGGGGGGGTTCTTGTTAATAAAATAATCACAGGTATTTCTATTCAGAATATCAATAATATCATAGCTAGTATTTGAATGTATTTCTATTTTCTGCTCTTTTCGAAAATTACTAAAATCATGTTTATGAACATAAACAAATTTCAGATTTCTCCGGTTCAAATAAAAACAAACACAAATATGGGCCCTTAAAATATTTGAACACACAACACAGAAATTAACTTATTTTAATCAGCAAGTTGCCATGCTTCAAGTTTTCTGTGTAACCGTTCGGTTTTCCTCAGGTAAGTTTGGTGTGGAGTGGAGCTTACTCAAAGCGGATGAGAAGCCCCGAGGGAACGACGCTGTCTAGTGTACATACTACCTATATACACAGGATGTTACCTGAGTGTATAACCTGTATGCGTTTTCCTACGACATTGTAAAACGAAGCCGTTTTTTTTTTCATGTGTAGCTCATGAATTGAAATGCAAGAAATAAAGAATGTTTTTGTTGCAGACAGAATCCTTTTTAAATTTTTTGTTTCAATTAAATATTTTCAAGAATTCGACAATTTTAATATACTGTGTTTTCCTTAATCAAATTTTATAGCAAAAATACATTTTATTTTACCACCAAAATCTGTCGTTGTAATCTGGCGACAAAAAGGGAAGTAATTCAAATTACATGTCATGTACATATGCTAAACGAAAGAAGAAAGTGGATCATAAACAAGTCTCTCGATAAATAACAATAAAACTTAGACAAATTCGACAGATGGTCAATAAACTGATAAATCAGCGGTAGTTTTATTCGCTAAACTTAAGAAATTGATATACTGATCAAAAAGGAGGAAAAACGACTGCACGTGCCTTAATACTGTGATATTTTTCTTCTCTCTATCTCCTCTCTCTCTCTTTCAATCTTCTAACTGGTACAGATATAAACAGACACGAAATAACATAGTAATGGATCATTATTTGATTTAATTGATATCAAATACTTCATTAATTTGCTTTAAAAGTTTTTTTTTTTTTTTACTTTTATTCTTTTTATACACTCCGTTTAAAAAAAAGGCAACAATAATTTGACACAAATTCCAAGGCTAATATCGCATCTGAAAATGATATCGATGAAATAATAATGAAACAATGAATCAAATGTGTTGTTGAATGGCTAGACAACGACGTGCACATCCAGCAAGCGTTACCCAAGGTATACTATAAGACAGGTGTGAAACCCCCAGGGCATATCGTTTCCTGCTCAGAAACTGCTAATCCCTATACACAGGAAATGATCGCGGCTAATACTTAATACACAAAGAAACAGAATTTGTCAAAGAAAACAAAAATATATGAATTTTTGCATTGAATATTTATTAATATAAACTATAATTTCGTCTGTGAAGTTTAACATTACACCTGCACATCCTATCTTATCTATTGAACACGAAAATCGAGAAATATTAAAATTAAAAAGAAAGACATTATATTAAAAAGTAAAACATGATAATGTGAAGGTGAAAAACGATATTTTTTCTTGATCTCTTGTATAAAGTTCACGTGCTCAAAGTTAACTCTCGTCATCGAATGCTTTCCGGTCATTTGACAATTTGAGAAAAATGCCTGCACATTTATATAAAAGAGGGAAATACATTAAAGAAAATTAATTAATTAAATTAACTTAATTTGGGAACAGAACATAAACGATGAGAAATAAAGAAGAATAGAACTTTTTCTTGATATCTTGGATAAAGAAAATTTAAGTTCACGTGCCCACTACATGTAACTGCAAATGCTCGTCATCGGATGTTTTCCGGTAATTTGACACTTTAAGAAAAAGCCTGTACATTTTATATACAATAAATCGAAATTAATTAATAAACAATATGAAGATGTACATTTTTTAAAAGATGCACATCTTTTTTTTTTTCAAATGAATGCTGAAAATCGTTCATCGAAACTTTAACAGTCTGAGTTCAACATTTATTACAGTTTGCATATAATATGAAGATTAAAAAAAAAACTAATTAAAATTTCTAGTATTTAATTTTGTTTCTTGATAGATTCTTAATAACACAAAATAATTAACCAATTGCAAAGACGTAACAATTTAATAAAATTTTCTATTCAATTTCAAAGATTGATATGTAATTTTAGAAACAAAAATAAACTTATTTTTTCTTAGTTTAAATTCTATTCATAGCAAAATTTATTAATAAATACACGTTTTTTTTTTTGTTTGTTTGTTTGTTTGTTTTTTTTTTTTTTTGTTACAGGGAAAATTCGCAAATTACAATTCGGGGAGATAACTCCCGTTTGTTTACGATACTAATTGTCAGTAATTGATCGATGATTTAACCGCGGCGGGGACAGGCAAGTGATGAATTTCCCGCGGAGGGAACGCGGTTTACCTGTCTACCTGGCCAAATACCGCGTTGTGATTATACCGCGGCGGGGACGCGGGAAATACGGGATCCGCGTTGCCTGTACTGTACATAGGTATTTTTTAAGGGACTTGGCAGAACTTTATCTACATAAGTACCTTATATTGGGTTACTAAAATTGAACAAGTATATTTTATTGGCCCACTAGAAAAGGATTCACTATTTTGAAAGGTTTTAGACTTCTCTGGTGTTAGATACAATAGGTCCTTTTGTTTGTTTTACTTAGAAGAGGAGTGCCAATCCAAACAACTTTGAAGCAAAAAGTTTGAATAAAAGAAAATACCAGTGATGATCTATTTTTTCAATTTTCAGCCACCAAATATCTTTCGTGCCTTAATTCTTAGAGGTTTTAGTAATTTACTTTCTTCGCTGAGTCTGGCAATACACTCTAATTTATTTACTAAAGAGAGTTGATAAATTTTATGATGCAAGTTTCCTGATCTTTGTACATTGATATAACAAGAACTAAGAACTATCTATTTAGTGTAACTTTTACACTCACATTCTGTATTTACAGTGACAGAATTTTCAAAGAAGACAGGGGATTACAAGAGTCTTTCCCCAGTGGATATACAAGTCATTGCTTTGACATATCAGTTAGAGAAAGAAAATGTTGGAACAGATCACATAAAGACTGTCCCAGATAACAAGGTATAAACTGATGGAGGTAACTAATAAGGAGTAAACATGATCAAACAGATGCAGATAATTAGAGATGTAACTTTGGTAGAATAAACCATTCAAAGAAATGATTTCTGTGATTTTGCAAAAAAATATTTGACGTATCAATAAAATAATATCTGATTGTTTCAAAATAAGTAATACAAATTTAACACTTTTTTCATTAAGAGCTTTTGAAACAGTCATAGTTAGACAGTCTTCCTTTTTCACATTTTTTAACATTGCATTTTCATTATTTTATTTACAGATTGAATGGACCACATCTAAAGCAATGCTAGAAAAGCCAACATCTATAGCAGGATTTTACCTTGCCAAGGTCAGAAAAATTATACTTGTTTAAAGATATGCAGGTAAAAATTATCTAAAGGGGGGAGGTATTATTGAGTAGACCTCTCAGTCAATAGAAAAGAATTTCAGATGTAAACATCATCTAGAATGTATACCATGTGCAATCAAATTATGATAAAGTAGTGCTAGTAGTGTGACAAAATACTTATGCCGGATGCAAACATTTTCAAAATGGTGTAATGTGTAAAATTGATATCATAATTATATATGATATTTTTTTTACCTAACATTTTTGACATAGGTGATAGGGTGTCAGTTTGGAAAGGGTATTTTTCAGACTTGTATACTGAAAATAATTTGCACAATTCGATCAGAATTCAGACTCTTGTCAAACCCCCTACCAAAATAAAAAAACACACTTTGTTATACAGCATAACTTTGGTAGCTACACTGTATTGAATTCATTCCTTAATTATTTTTTGGAAAAAAATGAGCGCAATTCTAATGGCATCCAGACTTATTTAAATGAACTTGATTTAAAACATATTTTTATATTTTAATTGCGTTTTGTCATTGAAGGACAACTCAAAAAGTAGAACCAATTCAGAATGCACCACAACGTCAGACTTACCAGAAACAGAGAGCCAGTCAACACCAAAAGAACATTTAACTGACCAATTAGTGAACACCTCTCAAGACATGAAATTAGTGACTGATAATATTGACCAATCAGAAACAATTAAATCAAAGGGAGATCTTAACACAGAATCAACAGAGGAGAGAGATGGGGGACAGGGGGAGGAGGGGCTTACTGTGACAGCTGACATGCTAGAGGAGACAGAGGAAGATGAAGGGATTGAGGAGGATGAAGAAGAGGAAGATGATGATGACGGCTGGATAACACCCAGCAACATCAGCTCACTGAAACAGAAGATGACCAGTCAGGATCAGGCGAGAGTGGCAGTACCTGTAGGTTGTGTCACCACAGACTTCGCTATGCAGGTATGTTATGTCACAACCTCTCAAAGGGAGGTAAGGTTTAAAAACTTAGCAATCATGCAAAAATTACGCAATGTTTACTTTGAAATTATATTTGAAGCATAAAACAATAAAGAAATTGAGATTTTTTGGAAAAAGCAAATGAAGACAAAAATTAAAATGTATTGAGGTGAGTGTTAAGAATTGATCAGGTACTTCTAGTTTGCAGCCAGATAATTAGTGTTGTGACCTTAGTGATACCAGTAGAGTTTACATAAGTAAATAATGAAGAGATTTATGTGACACATTCCTTTTCAGAATGTCCTGATTCAGATGGGACTCAATGTGATATCTGTGGATGGGCTACTGATTAAAAGAGCAAAAAGTTTTGTTCTACGCTGCTTTGCATGCATGAAGTAAGTCTCGTTTCAAGTTTATCTGTAAAGGCATGTCCTAACCATGTTTTCACAGAAGTGGGAAGTATTTGTTATTTGTTATATGTACATGTACGTTTTGGTTGGTTAAAAAACAATGATTTTGCATTTGACCATCTTTTTAAGAATTTTAATCCATTCTCTTTAGTATATATGATCATTTCCGAAAAATAGCGGTTGTTAATGAATTCAAAATTTTGAATTTGATAGAATTACAAAGGACATGATGAAGGAATTCTGTCCTTACTGTGGAAACAGAACCTTACAGAAAGTATCAATGACAGTGGAAGAGGATGGCAGCATTCGCTACTTTCTCTCTCGGCGGAAACCTATCTCAACTAAAGGGATGAAGGTATTATTCAAAACTGTCCCAATTTGCAATTGAATGTAATAAATTCATAAATAAGATCATTCTATTTAGAGTTCAATGACACCCCTAGATATTGGTTGGATGTGTCTGTAAGCTTGAAAAATACAAAAATGGAATCTGAATAAAGATTACCAGTGAACACTCATACACAAATTCATGAAGTACCTTGTACTTTACAGCATCAACTGCCTCTGCCAAGGGGAGGTAAGCACTCTAACAACCCAATCCTGACAGAGGACCAGCCGAGACCGCAACAGAGGGCGGCCAAAAAGAAGCAGCACCTGGATGTGTTTGACCCGGACTACGTGTCAGGGCAGTCTCCGTTCGCTCTAAATGACATCACCAGTCGCTCAGCGCAGCTGGGGATCAGAAATAACCAGTTTAATAAACGGAATCAGAATTCAAACAGACACGGAAGACGAAAATAAAAATATCCATAGAAATTTTAGTTGTGTTTTTTCTGACACTGGGAAATTAGCTTAAAGGGTGGGGGGGGGGGGGGGATAAGCACCGCCTTCAAATTTACCTGATCTCTGTGGACCCCTGTTAAGAAGATAGGATAGTGCAGTTGTTGGAAAAAGACGAAGGAAGGAACTTGTAGAAGTGGAATAATTAAATTCATGTATTATCAGCATCTCTAAGTAATTTTAGGGCTAAACCAGAGATATGGAGATAACGATTAGTTGTAAAAGTGATGACAATGTTGTTAAAAAGTCATTCATCTTACTGGTAATTGTGAGCTATCATCAAATTTGTCATACAGATGTACCTGTATTTTCAGTCCTGTCTGATAAAAGCTGATACTATTGTAGTCTTCAAAATTTTTTCTCATTCTGTTCCTAGGTTAGCTGCAGATCTGTAGCTCGCTGGTCTGTAAAGAAAACCAGAATTCTCTGTCGAGACTGTAGCTCTACTGGTTTGTATTATAAAGGAAGATAAAAGTAGCAGTTGGGACATAAAACTTTACAAAAGCAATACATAGAATATAAATAGAATAATGATCCTTAATAACTCTCTGTTTGTTGGAAGATTGCAATAAGACTACAACTGTAGGAGTAGCTTTTAATAAAATTTTAGTTACCATGACAACATTGTTCATCAAAATCAAAAACAAAGCTTGATTATGTATCTCAGTGTAGTGTACTTACATGCCAAATTATATTAAAATCAGACCAAAACTGTTTGGAGTAGCATTTTGAAAGTATTTCACAGAAATTGCTATTTTTAGTAACCACAGCAACACCGTTCATCGAAATCAAAAACTGATACAAATAATTAAGTATCTTAGTGTAGTCTACTTGTGTGCCTAGTTATACTGAAATCAGACCAAAACTGTAGGGGGAGTAAAATTTTAAAAGTATTTCACAGAAATTTCTATTTTTAGTAACCACGGCAACACCGTTCATCGAAATCAAAAACTGATACAAATAATTATGTATCTTAGTGTAGTCTACTTGTGTGCCTAGTTATTTAAGGAATCAATGTCTAGTTAGTATAGTATGCCACGGACATCAACAATAGTGGGAAACATGGGATAATTTATGCATAACGGCTTCGCCCGTTATGCAAATTATCCATTGTTTCCCACTATTGTTGATGTCCGTGGCATACTATACTAACTAGACATTGATTCCTTATATTTCCATTTCATTGTGAAATAAAATTGTAGATTAAGACTTTAAAAATGCAGACATAGCTTTAAATTACACGAGGATTTCCATCCCAGTTTCAATAGTCCTCGCCCACTGACGTCAAACACAACGGCAGCCGCACGAGATTTTCATGCATATTTGGCCTCCTTAGCGTCAGACTCAGAGACAGATGCGCACGAGATTTGCATGCATATTAGGCCTCCTAAGTTCCTGACCTATTTACCTGCCTAATTTACATTCTGGTAGAATTATCAAGAAATTAACTCCGCTAACTTTCAAAGAGTTATCACAGAGAGAAAAATTAGAAATGGAAATATATTGATATCAGACCAAAACTGTAGGGGGAGTACAATTTTAAAAGTATTTCACAGATATTTCCATTTATAGTAACCAAGACAATACCGTTTGTCGAAATCAAAAACCGATACACAGAATTATGTATCTTACAGTAGTTTACTTGTGCGCAGACCAAAACTGTAGGAGGAGTAGCATTTTAAAAGTATTTCACAGAAATTTCTATTTTTAGTAACCAAGGCAACACCATTCATTGAAAACAAAAACCGATACACAGAATTATGAATCTTAGTGTAGTCTACTTGTGTGCCTTGTTATATTGAAATCAGACCAAAACTGTAAGAGGAGTAGCATTTTAAAAGTATTTCACAGAAATTTCTATTTTTAGTAACCAAGGCAACACCATTCATCGAAACCAAAAACCGATAAACAGAATTATGTATCTTAGTGTAGTCTCCTTGTGTGCCAAGTTATATTGAAATCAGACCAAAACTGTAAGAGGAGTAGCATTTCAAAAGTATTTCACAGAAATTTCTATTTTTAGGAACCAAGGCAACACCATTCATCGAAATCAAAAACCTATCTTAGTGTAGTCTACTTGTGTGCCAAGTTATAATGAAATCAGATCAGAATTTTAAGAGGAGTAGCATTTTCAAAAATTGTTTACAGACAGACAGACATACGGACGGACGACGGACGCATTACTATCGCATTAGCTCTTCTGGTCTCTGACCAGTAGAGCTAAAAAAGAAGACAAAAATAGGATGGACAACTCTGGTCGTATTGAATCACCATATTTTACTTGCCTTCCGAAATCTGAATACATGTACATGTTTTCTTGAGCTTTGCGATACGTATTGTATGGTTTTAGCCCTATCAGAACATAATCAAGCAGTGGTGTAAATCAAATATGGATTCTCAGAAACCCAAAGAACTTGTAGAAAATTTAAAATCAACCCTCTCCAATTCATAGCTTCAAAACGTGTGACTTTTCTACGCTTTATGCATCGTCGGAAACCCACGGTCGGTCTCGCTTCTCTTACGGAAACCCACGGTCGGTCTCGCTTCTCTTACGGGAGGTAAGAGAAGCGAGACCGACCGTGGGTTTCCGACGATGCGCTTTATGCTACACAATAAAGCAGAGACCAAACTTCATGGACAATTGTATGCCTTTTCAATACTAAAAATGGTTCTCGGAAATTTCGTACCATTTGATTTGTCAATTCAGCTATATTTTGAAATTTTCAAAAAAACAGTTCTTTAGAGTTTTTAAGTATCTACATCTGATGCACACCATTTCTCGAAAATTTGGTTGTAGGTACTCCTGAAATTTCTCCTTCACTGAACATTGATAATACAGTGTAGAAGTGAAGAGTAAAATAGAGGCTTGGTACATAGAACATTTAAAGGAACCCGCAGTGTATCTTTATAAGAATTTGTATGAAGTTAAGAACCCAGTACTTGTTTTGGAATTCAAATTCATATTGATTGTAGGGAATATTAAATTTATTTAAAACTGACATGATTTTGAAGAATTTCCCTTTTAGAAAGGAAGCTATGGGTATAAGATGGATCTCCACTTGCAGTACTTACTACATCCAAGTTACTCTAAGTACAATTTAGAAAAAAATGAACATACAAAAGTGTAAGCCATGCAATTTCTTAATAAACCACTTGTTTGGGGTTCATGATTCTGAGTTTAGAAAATTTCCGAGATTGTCCAAAATTAGTCATAGACGGGCAAAAATCAACCTGTTATATTTAGAAATATATACATGTACGGAGTAAATGATTTAAACGAGAAAACAAATCGCCAGTCCCACTGATCACTTAAAATTCCATTTACATTTATTATTGCATTAAGTACTTAAAGACTAAATCCTATTAAAGAGCATTCAGCTTTTTCCCTCGACTTAGAACAAGTGTCGTAACGCGAAAATATTGCAACACTTGCATGGCTTATGCGAAAAACCTTTCTCGACTTCATTATTCCTTTTTTACGCACGCATTATAACTGTACACGAACACGAAATTGCCTCTATACTGTAAATTTATGTCATTTAAGGTCAATAAATTCATTCTCATTGTCGTTAAATTATGTTTTTAATTGATAATTATTATTGAACTTACTCTGTTCAATATTGATTAAGATAGCAAGCATACAATCCCTAACCCTAAACACCCCTACTAATGTTATTGTGATTTAAATTCAAGACACGTGGTTTAGGTTGATCTATTCAAAGGTTATAGGGTAGAACCGGTTTTATAAATAAAATTGGCAGTAAACATGCTATTGCTATAGCCTGTTTCTTTTGAAAACATGTCCTGTAATAAATGTTTTCAGACCTTTCTGAAAGACTTTCATGATTTTTAACAGAAAAAGGGTGGCTTAAGGAGTGGGTGTTAAAATAACAATATATCTTATACTTTTCGGCCAAAATTAGAGCTCACTAGTGACCGATTCGCTGGTAAAAATGTGCATTATCATCTACACTGACAAACCTTTGTTTGCCTTATATGGCTATTGTTATAAATGCGCACAGAGGATCTCACCACGAGCAACTGTCCAATCGTTGAATGAATAACAACGTTTACGCAAAATACATGTTTACATTTTACTTCGAACACGTAGTTCAGGTCAATCTACGATCATGTTTAATAATATGTAGTTTGTGTCTAGTTCAGAACACCAGCGCTTCAAGGGTAAGGAAAACAAGCAGCATCTCTTATGCATTTAAATGGACAAAACTTTGTTTATTTTTATGTACGTGATCACGTGTTTTGGCCAGGGAATCCACCTGACAATTGTATTCACCGATAGTACAACAAAGGAATTAATACAGACGCAAATCGCTTTTGCAGTATGACTTTCAGAAACCTAGACTTCCGCCGTCTTTATGAGCATGAAAATAATATTTTTAAAAATGCTTTTCATTTACCATAAGATTTTCCTTTTTTTTCAAGCGTAAAATTCCTGTAGCATTCGTAGTAACCCATAATGCAATACTCATTCAGCTGATTGGTCAGTTAAAATCATGCTGGTGCCTCATTTGCTAATCTGTCGCCAAAAAAATTGGTCCCGGTTTCCACGCAAAAATATTTGTCCAAAAAGAAATTTTAATTCATGACTGCAGAAAATTGTATTATAAAGAATATTTATTTAAGTTTGAATGAATGTAAAAGAGATCGATTGATTGAAGTACATTTCTACAGACATCAGCTGATTCTAGGATGGTGAAAACTGAAACGCAACATAACTTTTCTGTTTACCATGCCTCCACGTGCTAGTCACTTCCTAGCCACATTTCCGTGAATAATTTACCCTATCTCGCTGAAGTCTCGCTAACTCTCGCCAGAGCCACTGCCAGAGCTACTCTGAACTCATCGGGTTTTATAATTTGCAGAACACCGAAAAATAAAAGGTTCCGAACACATTAGTAGGGGTGCTAAAGGGTCTTTTCAGTTCATGCTCTGTTCCACTCTACATCTCTTGAACAGCGTTTTATCTATAACTATATTGTAAACTGGCCTATTTCGATTACTTACTTACTTACACCCCCACCCCCGAGGACCATCCGAACAGACAATACAGCTGTCTCTGTCTCGGTGTTGATTGCGGTTGGGCGCTCTTTTTAGCTCACCTGAGCCGAAGGTTCAAGTGAGCTTTTCTGATCAAAATTTGTCCGTTGTCTGTCGTTGTCGTAGTCGTAGTCGTTGTCGTCGTCGTTGTCGTAAACTTTTCACATTTTCATCTTCTTCTCAAGAACCACTGGGCCAATTTCAACCAAACTTGCTACAAAGTATCCTTGGGTAAAGGGGATTCAAGTTTGTTCAAATGAAGGGCCACGCCCTTTTCCAAGGGGAGATAATTATGAATTAGAGAAAAATTAATGGCATTTTTAATATGGTGGCATATTTTAATATGGTGGCATATTTTAAAAATCATCTTCTCCAGAACCACTGGGCCAGGAAGGATGAAACTCATGTGAAATCATCCTCAGGTAGTGTAGATTCAAGTTTGTTCAAATCATGACCCCCGGGGCTAGGGTGGGGCCAAAATGGCCGACCCAAGTTTTACATAGGGATATATAGGAAAAATCTTTAAAAATCTTCATCTCAAGAACCACTGGACCAGGAAAGATGAAACTTAAGTGGAATCATCTTCAGGTAGTGTAGATTCAAGTTTGTTCAAATCATGACCCCCGGGGCTAGGGTGGGGCCAAAATGGCCGACCCAAGTTTTACATAGGAATATATAGGAAAAATCTTTAAAAATCTTCTCAAGAACCACTGGACCAGGAAAGATGAAACTCATGTGAAATTATCCTCAGGTAGTGTAGATTCAAGTTTGTTCAAATCATGATCCCCGGGGCTAGGGTGTGGCCAAAATGGCCGACCCAAGTTTTACATAGGGATATATAGGGATCCCTTTTAAAATCTTCTTTTCAAGTACTTCAAAGCCATGATTAGTGATATTTATGTGGAATCATCCTCAGGTAGTGTAGATTCTAGTTTGTTCAAATCATGAATCCCTGGGGGGGGGGGGGTTAAAATTCAAGCCCCCCTCCCACCTCAATAAAATTACAGTTCTGATCTGATATGTGCTTTTTCCTAGCTCAGGTGAGCGCTGTGGCCCCTGGACCTCTTGTTTCAAGTTGTTGTTGATCGTTCTCTTCTTCGTTTACCCCGTGGATTTCAGTCCATAGCTCATACTCTTTGTGTCGCTGTGGGATCTTCCAATAAATGCCCATTCTGTCGTCTTTTTTCTGTCTTTGATGATATTTATTATGAACCGTGCTTCAATTCAATCTCATCTGCAACTAGTGCTAATTGTAACGGGGACCGTTACAGATGTTCCCCAAACGCTCCCCAACTCCCTTTTGGTGCCATAATCCCTGTAAGCTTCGTTAAATAAGACAAACTCTATACATCTGAGATTTAAACAACATTTACAAAGAAGTGTACAAAAATCATTTAAACTTTAGCTTTGCACGCGTGCACATGTGAATGCATTTGCGTCATGACCATATCATCTTGTCTACACAATCTATATTTTTAATACACTGAATATTAAAGTATTTAATCCAAAATTATTTAAAAAATACGCTCATTCAAGTGTATTTTTGATTTTACTCATTTCACGTGCACGCACGTGCATACATGAGCATGGTGACCATACCTTCTTGTAGAAGTCCATTACATCTATCTATGTTCTAAATTCCACCCCGTTTGGGTGAAAACTAAGGGAGTTATAGCTGTTTAAAGTTTCAGCCAATCAGATTGCAGCACATTTACACGCAACGTGTATGCATGTGCATGGTGACCATACCGACTTGTAGAGGTCCATTATATCTATCTATATTCCAAATCCCATCCTGTTTGATTGAAAACTAAGGGAGTTATAGCTGTTTAAAGTTTCAGCCAATCAGATTGCAGCGCACGTGCATGCACGTGTTTTCATGATAATTGCTTTATTTCATGTTGTAGCATATCCTAATGCATAGCTATGTTCAAAATTTCAAAGGATTTCGTCAAAAAACAAGAAAGATATTGAGACTTTAGTTGCAGCCAATCAGAGCGAAGTGCACATGCATGCGCGTGAGATCTTGCTATTTTCACCATGTCGTCAAGTCTATACTACTTATATATCCTCACATTATGAGTTTCAAAGCATTTCATCTGAAAAAAAGAAAAGTTGTGGCTATATATATTATATTGGTCATTTCACGTGTTGCACGTGCACGCTCTTGCAAGCACGTGCGCGCAAAATGACCTTGATTCCGCAAATCTACATAACATGTCTACTAACCCTAAAAAGGTTTTACCTACATCGGACGAACAGTTTACAAGATCATTCCCGGACAAAAAAGTTCCAGGAAGAAGAAGAAGAAGAAGAAGAAGAAGAAGAAAAATAATAATAATAATAAGAAACAGAGTAAAAACAATATGTTCCCCAACTTCGTTTGGGGAACATAATTACTGTAAACCAACTTCTATTCGCAAGCGAGAAATATCCCTGAATTTCGCGACCTTCTTTTACTCTCGAATATTTCTCGTCGCGAACCAATTATTCACCAAAGTATTTGTATATGCAGAATGTTGCCTCGATCGCGAAGATGAATTTCAATCGCGAATAAAATGATATCGCGAATAATAATTGGTTTACGGTAGATCTTTGATGAGAATCTACTTCAACTACGGATCGCTACAGGTGGTCCTTAAGTATACAAAATATAGGGAATACGATATTATTTGAAGTAAATTAGATTGTTAACAATTGGATTTCTATGATTCACCTTTATTGATTTTTATGATTTAATAAAGTTAAAGATAGGAACTTGAGGTAGATCATAATATAAATCAATAACATCTAGAGAATTTCAGAATGTATGGTTTCTGTATTGCCAACTATTTTTATATAAACATAAATGTCGAGAAATACGAGCATTCAGCAAGTAAATATTATTGAACTTTGAAAGGTTATAATTCTTATATCAACAAAATAATTCTGAAATAACAAAAGCAAACCTAAAAAATGACATGATTGGTTTAAAATTTCATCGCCCCAGAGATAAATTATATCCGTATATCGCACACCCGGCTTCGTTTTCTACAGGTTTGTTTGCATTTAAATCTATCCCGAGCACTTACAGAGAGAGAATCGTGGACGAGACTCGGTTGAAGACTTTTGAATGGATTTATATGTACTTTGAAATTTTAAAATTTCCCTCTGTCGTTATTACTGAAAGAAGAATAAAACTGGAATCAACTTGAGATCATAGAGCATCAATATGGACGAAGGTTAAAACTACTCCTAAGTGTGACCAAAACGTGCAAAACACTTCATTATAATGCAGCGGACAGAAGAGGGTGCTTTTCAGGTAATAACCCAAGGTAGTCTTGATTGTTTTATTACGATGTAAGTTTGAAGTTTGTTTACTAAGTGAATAAAAAAATTCAAAGATTTTAATTGGCCTTTGCAAAACTTCCTTGATGTATTTACCAAAATAAATGTTCAATGTCTTCATAATCTGAGTTATATTTCAATTTGCAGCGATCAATTAGAAAATGTAATCAAGATTTGTTTGTTCACTTGCGCTTGTTAGTCTCTATCCCAATAAAAAATATTAGCCTGAAGTCATTTTAAACGCAATTAAAACTATAATCGTTTTAAAATGAACAATACAAAATATACCCTCTGGAAAAGGTTGTTTTAAATTAATTTAAACTTTATTGGATTACCTCGGAATTCAATTGAACATATTTTCTGCTGTTAGTGCTCTGAACAATACACGGGACCCTCTCTGGTTTCAAATTTCATAAACGCGAGAGTGTATCTTGGTAAATGTGTACTCTTTGAAAGTTTAAGAAATTAATGTTAAAAAAAGTGTATTGGAGTTTATGAAATATCTTTCCATTTTGTTCAATAACTTGATTTGTCATTTAATTTTCTAAGTAACAAAGACATGATAGATCTGGTTGTATAATCGCTACTCAGAACTCAATTTTCAATACTTTGGACCGAAATTTAAATGATCTCTCGTTAAATCAAGATCAGGGCGAATTGGCAACTCCCCATAAAGTTTATTCGTGAAAGTTTGTATGGGTAAACTCGTCTCATTATTATGTATACCAATGCTAAACAATCTGTCAACAGACAATTGGTTCTCGTATTATTGAAATTCAAAAGACCGCACTTGTAGTCAGAGTATTTATAATCCATTAAGTGGGGGCATTTCACTTGTGTGAGACATGATTTACTCAGGTAGATTTAGAGAATACATACGGTGTTAATCACAAAACGAAATTCCCAGCCCTTGCAAACATTTGATATGAAATCAATAGACACGCTTTGACAAAACAAACATTTGCAAAAGTGATTGCAGATTACCAAAAAAATGCATTCAAGTTTCGAAAAACAAACGAAAATAAAATGTTTCTTTGCAGGTATAAGGACAGTTGTATGACAACGTTAGGGAAAAATGGCGCATCTTGAGTCCAAGAGTCCGGACGCAACTTTCACTTTATTCGTTGTTTTACCAACGGAAGAAGTCTGCACACTCCGTAGGGTTCCTTCTGGTATATACGTCAACGAAGTCAAAGGGAAACTAGAGCTTGCCGCAGGTCTACCCTCCAACATCTACATGCTGACTTATCCTGATGGAGAATGTCTTAGTGACAGAGAAAGGTTGCTCATCCAGGAAAACGTCCGGGACGGGTATCTATTGCGAGCCCAGATAATGGATAACTGGGATACGCTGTACAACGCCTTGGTACAGAACAACACGGAGTACGTCTACCACAGCGGTGGTGTCCACGTGAAGGGAAACATCATGGTAGGCCAGGACGACACCGGCAAAATAGAGGCTTTGGTACGGGAACGTGCCACAGCCGCACTCTTCATCGCAGCCTACTCCGGATTGGTGAAGATGTGTAATCTGTTGATATCCATAGGTAAATAAATTCATAATTTCACATATGTCAGACTAAATTCATAACTTGTTTTTGCAAATCCATTGAGTAGATATTCATAAATTGTATTCCTATATTTATTTACAGGTGTAAATATGAATGGATCTACGCATTTTGGCAGAACAGCCTTGCATGCAGCAGTTTGCAAAGACCGTATTCAGATTGTGAACATGTTGCTAGATGCTGGTGCCACAGTTCATGTTTACGATATATATTCTCAGAGTCCCGTAACTATAGCAAAATCGTACAATTCCTTCCAATGCGAAAAAAGACTTCGTCTCATGCAGTTAAATCTGCGGGGTTTGAAGGATTTACAAAACAAAAACTCTTACTCAAATCTGCAACTCAAAGGGAGGGTATCGAGTACTCCACAAATAGCTCAACGTGACACTGAAACAGCGAGAAGCACTAAACCTAAATCTACATCCGCTGGGACAAACAGACAATATACAGAAAATGTATCATCACACAACGATCAACCGAAGAAACTTCTGTCTGCACGGTCCGATAAGAACAACAACACGATCAAAACGAGGACGGAAGGATACTGGGTAATATCGCAATCCAACCCCAGGCATAAAGAGTTGGACGGGGCCTTAGAGAAAAGATATTTAAACTTTTTAGAACATCACGACAAACTGATCCAAAACAAACAGTATCCCTTATCTGCCAGTAAATATCGAATTCTTAAGTTCAAGAAAGATTCCGCTGACATGGCTGTAGGACATCATTCACTTCCGGAGGAATCCAAACCAACACATGGAAGGATTATCGCCCCTGTCCCTGTGGATACGGTAGAAATACACGTAGAAACTGAACACCCGACTGAGTCAAATAAAATTCACTCACCGAAAATTCCAGAAGAGCCGAGTTTGTCAAACTCAACAAGAGGAACACGTGATAATGACAACAGTGTTCGAAAAAGCAGCTTAAAATCAGGAACTTCACTGTTACCAAAGAGAGTTCGATTTTCAGCAAAGTCAAGGTAACAGTTATCCTCTGCATGATGATAAACACATGTCATTTGTAGGAAGCGTTTGAAATACCTAGGAAATTATAAGTATATATTCATATAATCCGTATGCAGAAGTATAATCTATGCTTTTTAAGTATTGTTGCTGACAATTTATCCTGAAATAGTGAAAATTTCTTTTTATTTATAGGTCTCTGAAGAACCTTGCAAAACCCGAGACAATGGAGTCGTTCAAAGACTTGAAAAGAAAGATTTCCATTGCTGCTAATCGAACAGACAGTGCCAGATCAACGTCGTCTAGAAATTCAGGGATTACACACGAGTCTTGGTTACGGAGGAAGCTGGCGCAGGAACGGAAGCTTATGTCTGATTCCTCAGACTCCAGCGACAGTGAAGACAATGCCGGGGACTCTGATGCCTTCAAAGAATGGATACAAAAGAAAAAGGAGGCCAATTTCGGTCCTCCAAGGCCGATAACTCGACCCATACCTGGTCTGATTCAGATAGGCTCAACGGATGTAGGGGATGGAAGAAACCCCGATCCGATTCATAATATTAAAGCGTATAAGAATTGGGTAGGAAAGAGGCAGAAGACGAAAAGAATACCAAACGTGGAAAGATTAAGAACTATGCAGGACTTCATGGCACATAAGAAAAAGTTGGAAGAGAAACGACAACAGTTGTTAATGATTGCAATTACTTACGAAGAGTGGATGGATTTCAATGAAGAAAAGAAATTATTAATCCAGAAAATCCTTCGTGCAGACCTGGAAGAACTAAAAAACATGGAAAAGGAACTTTCTACCAAAAAAGCACCACATCAGATTTCTTTCGAAGATTGGAAGGAAAAAGCAAAGAAACGAAGGGAAGAGGAGCTTATTAGACGTGAAAAGCAAAAACGGTTTCTGAAAGAGGAACAACGAGAGAAGAGAGTGAATGGGCGTAGTAGTGCTGCTATCCCACATGCAGAATGGTTACGGTTGAAAAGGACTGAACCGCAACCTCGACATTCAGTATCCCCAAGACCAGACTCCATGTGTGGTTCTGCGCAGACTCGAAAGGAAGCAGAAGAGACATACAAAAAATGGTCGTCTGCAAGGCAAGAGGATGGCACCAATACTACAATGCCATATGAAAAGCAATTACAATTGGGTTCAAAGAGTTTATCACCACTGGTCACTGTGCGGTAGACTTTTTTCTTACTTTAAAATCGGCTTCAATTTTCAATAAAATATCTACATAAAATGTATGAAAGTTGACATGTTCAAAAGATTTCAACGTTATTAATCAATATCCGCATTATCTTGTTAAGGTTCTGAAAATAGTCCAAAAATCGTCTACAAAATAAACCAAATATTTACCCCTCTTTTCATGAACCAGAAACAACTTGTAAGCTCATATAAAAACGACATGTACCACTTTAAGAGGCAGTCCGCCGAAAAACCAGGCAGGGTTGTATTAATAGGCGGCACATCGAATGTGACGAATATTTGAAATTTTATTGAAAACAATATCAATGTAGTCCAAATGGAATAATGTAATCGAAGATTTGTTTTAAAATTGCTTATTTAGTAAAATATCCTTTTGTTTCGTGTTCTTGAATTACCCTATATAAACCATTGAATTTAGGTCAGAAACAACAAACTGTAATTTCCAATACTTATTTAACAGGATTATAATTCATGCTGAACTAAATTTAGAAATATTTCGTCTTTCAGTTTCAAAAATAAAATTGGTGGGCAAAATACTTTTGATAGTAGTTTTCTGTCAAAATATAGAGACGTTTTTATGAAATTTTGCGATGTAAGAGTTATCTCCCGTGGCATCGATAAATCTGCTAAACACCTTACTATCGAAATCCTAGTGAAATATTTAGAATATATACACAAAATAAAATTATTTAACAAAAAATTACTACTTTATTTTCAAAATAGAATTCATTTTCGCCTCCAAACGTAATTGCCTGACGTCACGGCGTCAGGCTGTATAAGGATTGATATTTCCAAGATCCGAAAGTGTGCGATCATATCTAAAGAGCTAGATTTTGTGCAAGCTGATTTGCATTGGAATTCTTTACCTGCATTTTAAAGAAACAGTTTTCAGAAAACAGAATGATATTACTGATGCAAAATACTGCAGTGTTTACTTCTTTTACTCTTTTTGCATGGAACAGATTATTCCATGTGATTCGCCGTTTCAACATATCCGTGTATCCTGTTTTCTGCATTTCTATACTACAGGATCAGTCCATTTATATTCTACGAAAGGGGTGAATAGCTCTTTTCGCGCCAAATGTCACTAGTAAGCTATATCTTCGAATTCGAGCCTTTTTTGGATTGTTCTGGGTGTGCTAACTTCCATGAAAACCTCATTTTAATGCCTCAGAAATTCTATCTACAAGTTTTATACCATTCTTTAAAAAAACATGTCGTATACATCAGTATATGGACATGCAACAGTAAAGAAATGATTTTTCTAATTTGTTTCCCGATCCCACGGTTGGTATATTCCATAAATCAGGGACCTATATACTAACATGTATATAGGTCCCCCTGCATAAATGGACTAGTCCGATAATAATAAACAACGCAGTTCAAGTCATATGTCTCTGTTCAGATACACACAGTAAATAAGAAAGCAGTGAAAAATCTTGGATTTTACTTTCCACAAAGGTCTAAGTATTGAATTTACTTATTTCATTCTCAATATATGATTGTGTCACTACCCCCCCCCCCCCTTTTTAAAGAAAAAAAAAAAATAATGAACACATTACTACTGTTTACTTCAGAGGAGAAAATACACTCCAACAAAATGTGTATTTAATTATGTCCATCTTTGAAAATGTTTACAATGGATGATTTGAGAACAGATTTTATAATGTACATGTATGTAGGTGTTACAATGGAGCTTGAAATTTAGATCCAAGGGCAGATCACTCCACTAGCAGACACCCCCCCCCCCCCCCCCCAATAATAACTCTTTAGTATGCAGTGTAGAGATGATTCTTCAACAAATTAAATAAAATCAAGATTCCAATTACACAAGATTCTCAAATTAAATATAAAGTTAGGGTATGTTTTATTGCTCAAAAGGTTTATCACTGTTCATGCAGATAAATTGATTGATTTAGTCAGGCAAGCTTTTTAAAAAGCTGTTACTTGTATTTAGATTAAGATTGGCAGTATTATTCAGGTTGAATCCACGTTTCCATTGATGTATCAGTGACGTCATATACCTGACTAATATTGCGTCACAATTAAATAGTTACAAGTTTTCCAAAGAAGTTTGTAAATTCTTTGCATAAAAGCGCAAATAAAACGATTAAAAATAAATAATTTCTCTTTTTCTGTTCAATTACTTTTCAGAGTGCATTATCCTACATGTTAAATACGTAATCATATATTTTTATATAAAATGTATTTTTTTCACGGGCGACGTCTCAGCTAAAAGTAATTTTGTACATGTCCGAGAACTAATTTTTTAAACTGATTTACTAGGCTATGCGTACAAATAATTAATTGTTTATATTGAATATTTCTTATAAAATTGGGATGTGAAGAGATTTTATTTTCTTCTGATTATCAAGGAAAGATGAATATTTTAGATTTACGCAACATTTAATTCAAGTCAACGGAGTTGAGATATTTATTTCATGATATTTGTAAACACACACACATACACACACACACAAAAAAAACACTTGATTATATTTATCTATGCAGTCAAACCAAAGTAAACGATCCGCGGTACGATTAAAAATATTTTATTTAAAAATTAAAAAATAAGATTTAAAAAATATTTATTGAAGAAAATTACTGTTGAACTCCCCACTTCAATTTGCCACTAAAAACGGAATATTTCGTGGGCGTATTTTTTGTTTTGTATTGTTTTTGTTTGAGTTTTTTTTTTTTTTTTTTTTTGGTTAAATTTGGTGATTGAAACAATCACATACTCACATTCAATATGAAGTTAAAAAATGTGACCATGTTGGCCAATTCTAAAATGTTTTCCCATTAATGAAAGTTTTTTTTTTTTAATATGCCGCCTTGCCCCCCCCCCCCCCCTAACCCCGTCCCGGCTTTTTGCTTGCGATTTCTAGCCTCTTAAATCATAATACTATATATGAAATAACTTTTTTCTTATTAATATAAAATTGAATTTTATAAGATGAAAATATATGGGACACGGCTTTTATAGATGACAGGTTTAAAAAATTTGGATAAAGCCGAGACTGTGCACATTTAAATATTTTCTGCATTTAGGTAGTGCAAGTGTATTTTCGCCAATGATAGAATTGAACTCTTTAATTCACGAGAGAATTAAAAAAAACTTTAGTTGGAAATAAGATATTTAACAAAGATAAGCTGTTTACTCTCAGTTGTTGCATAATGCAAGTACAAATACTTGCTTTTTAATACCGAGTATCAAGTAATCGTACAGATGTTATACATGATTGTAATCTTCATGTACGTAAAAGACATTAGTATTTTAAATAAATTGTATAAACAGTTGAATCCATGGATAAAATAATTTTAAAACAGTTGACTAACTGAACAGAAATAAAAGACAAGCATATTTTTTTTGAAATACATTAAATGCAGAATATTTCTAGTTTTACGGTAAAAACCGATCCCGATTGAAATAAAACCGATCCCGATTGAAAATAATGCAAAATGTGTAAAGTTATAAAACTAAAGACAACTGCCACCCATAAGACATGTACAAAAATAAATCAAGTAATTTTTTGGCCATATTACAACAAAAGAGCCAAATTTAACATTAAAATTATAGTATTTCCTTCTTTATATAATTCCGGTCGGGATCGGTTTAATTGTGAAAAATTGTAAAACATAGGTAAATTTGACTCCTTTTATTTCTCTCAATATAAGGGTGCCCACTGATTTTATTGAGTGACTCAAAAGTTTGTACTTTGTATTCATAATAACATGAGAAAAAAAATCTGTCATTGAAATGTATTGGGTTTTATAACGTAATGAAAATTGGATAATGAATTCAAAAAGTTACTTGCTAAACTCAATTTTGGACCACATATTTTTTTTTCGAAAGAAATATAAATTGGAGTCTTATTCATTATAAAATTAAAGGTAAGAGTCTATGGTATAAATAATATTGATAGACACATCCAGGTTTTGCGTATCTGGTACATATAAAACAAAATAAAAACGTAGTAATTTTTTTTACCCCAATGTTGACCTTTTTGCACTTAAAATTGAGCAATTACCCAAAATAGGACTAGTGGAGCATTAAATTTTTTTTTGATGTTGTCATGTGTAAACACTTGCTTAAATAAGTCTATATGCAAAAAATAATAAAAATCCATGACATGCGATGTGCCACCCATTGCCTGATTTTCAGTGGACTACCTCTTAAAACATCAAATGTTATGAAATTGGTATCTATCTTATGGGAACCAAAAAAACTGTGATGCTTCGATTGGATAAGATAAGATAGGTTCCAGAAAAAGCCCGTGTGCTTGATCTCCATGAATATCACCCAGGAAGACTACTTCGGACCCACAGGCATTTGGCGTTTTTTTAAACCTTTCTTTTCATTAATAAAAAATTCCCATTATAGTATGGGAAATTTGTTATTTATGAAAAGAAAGTTTAAAAACGTCAAGTGCCTGTGTTCCGGGTCATTTAAAAAAATATTTGTTAACCCGACAAGACTAAAAACTTTTTTCTTGTCATTCTTTTTATTATTTTCTCACTTTTTATCAATATTTTACATTTGATATCTGTAATTTTAATTGTTAAAAAAGTTTCTTTCCTACTTATTCAGTTTTATATCTAAGTTTGGAAGGGCATACAGACATTTTTTATATATATAGATAGCCGACATAATGTGCAAGTGATTTCAGTTTAGCTTGAAAAGTGCAAAAAAACTGTCGTTTAAAAGCTAACAAAGACTATATGTATACACAATCAATGGAAATTACAAAATAAAATATGTCTTTCCAGCATATGTTATCATGGATATTGCTCAACAGATGGTCCATAAAATATTTTTACTTTTCATAATATTTCACGTGTCAATAAATTTTAATTTTAAGACTTAGAAAAAAAACTTTTGCCACGTTAAGAAAAACTCTGATCAGGCTGTAACAGCGAGTTCAGAATACAGGAACAAGCTGTCTTCTATTCAAAGTAGTTTTACTTTTTATAGAACCATTCCTCCAATTTATTAAA